TGATTTTTTTCCTTATTAGAACCATTTCACTTAAAAAAAAAACACGCAATTACTTCTAATCAAACTTTTTCAAAAACGGTTCTTCCTAGGGACTTCCACATCAGTACTTTTTTCACTTAAAAATAATAATAATATGCTTTATTTGTTTTGTGGCACCATAAAATTATAAATTGAATGATGAAACAGAGTAATACGTTTCACTAATTTTTATCAAAAATACAATTTAGGGTGATACAAGAAGACATTGAAAAGTGAAAAAAATGTATGTAGGTAAAGTCTGTTCATAGATATAAGAAAGTGACTAACTGATACGAATTAAGGAAAGACCCGGGCAAGCTGTAAGAATGAAATATTGCCGAACAGGTCCGTACTTTGCTTAGAATTTAATTATTTGGGGTTTTGTTAGGAAAGATACTAAACAATATTTATTTATTTATGTATGTATTTATTTATTTATTAGTATTTTATTTTGGAATCCAACCATCTTTAAAGCCAGCATGCAAAATAGTTATTCTTTTACCTCTTTTTGACGGCGCGTTTGTTTTACACTTATCAGTTGAGTCAACCCAACCCTTTTCCGGGGTATCATAAGTGTCAAACCAGGTTTCATCCAAGTAAATAATTGGCCTTTGTTGTTCTCCGTAAATCCTATTTTTTTCTAGATATTCCAGTCCCCATTTCCGAATTCTAAAAGAATCCGTTAAAACTTGCCTTTTATCAATTAATCTAATCCCATGTGTAGTTCTGCCACATTTTACACCGGTTTCATCTTTTTCAAGCCTCCTAGATAAGATATCTAATGTAAGCACGCTTTGTTCCTCGTATAACTGGTAAATTGTACGCCGTATTATATCTTGATCACTTTCATCTACACTCGACAAAATGTCAGCATCGCTTCTTTTTTTCCTCGCTGAAATGGGATTATTCACAATTTTCCATACAGTTGATGTTGGAATTTTCGTCAATGTGGCCGTTTCTTCTAAAGATGCTTGCTTGCTGGCACCACGTTCAATGAGAGTCAAATAAACATTGTTTATAACTTCCTTAGTTTTAACAGAATAGTGTTTTCTACATTTGGGCCGGAGCATCTCCTGAGATACACTAGACTGGCGCATATTTTGCATAATTCGCACACGATTCAACACGCGCTGTATTATACACGAAATAAGAATGATTACTAATAAACTTAAACTAAGTAGTATACTAAACCAAAGAATATTAAACACAGGTAGGTATAAAATTATTTTCTATTACGGACCACAATTTTATCTGAATTTAAATTCCGAAAGTTTAGGTAATAATCTTGTTGCATTGTATGTTAATGACCACCCTTGGATAATCCCATTCAAAAGCGATTGGTCACTTTCTTATATCTATGAACAGACCATAGCTCCTACTACACGTAAGAGCTAAATTAATACCAACTTCAAATTTCTCATGTAACGGAAAGTTAATAAAATATGCCTGAAAATGCCAAAATTAAACTTTGACACCCCATATCTTTTAAACGAAGCATTTTTAGACAACAGGGTCATAGTAACTTTTTACCTTAAAAATGCACATAGTGAAATATCAGATATTCGGTATAGTACGTAAAGTAATTACATTAAATTTGCTTCGTCGCGTAAAGAAGCACCCTGTACAAACATTATTTCGGTCGTGTTTCAGAAGGCAACGACGAGGAAGACAGCAAGCGGAATATTCGTCCCCATAGCAAAACCAGTCCCCGTGAAGGACTCTCCTGTTGACAGTCAAATCAAGGACTTTCTCAGGCCCCTCGCGGACCAACATGGCGGCCGACCAATAACGGACCGGGACGAAGCGAGACAATGAGACCGTAGAGCCTGGCCCAACGAATTGTTCGATGCTATATTGCGGGCTCGTGGGGCCCCCCATTGTCCAGCGGTGACGCTTGAAATAACAAGCGGGGAACGAAATGACGATCTATTGTGTCCCCCGATCGTTCGGAGCTGCGTGACGTTTGCTACGGGGCGCATTCAAAAATTAATATTGAATCGTATAATGGGGATAAAAGTATCCTTTTATTTGGCGTCGCAGTTTTTTTTACTTTCCTGATTTATTTGCTGGCAAATATACGAAAATCAAAACAAGAGGTGTTGAATTTAATCACGACCCTAACGGTTAATTCGATAGAGTTAACTGTATTGATTAATCATATAGCTCAAAAACTCATCAAATTAATTAAAAGAAGATTTCTGCACCTAATGCTCGCAAATTTCAAGCTACATTTAAACGTTTTTATTTTTTTATTCGCTAAATAATTATATTTATCTGAATCTTCACCCATATATGTTAATTATGATTTTTATGTAAATATACATTAAATTACTCAACTTTGCTACACAAATAAAAATCTTACCTACTTTCTGTATACAACTATAAGTTAGTTTTAAATTTTTTTATTTTTATATTTTTTGATCTATTAACTGATTCGGCAATCCATGAAAGCGAGAATCCATATCTTCAACAATCTTACGGTTTTCGTCTTTTCCTGTTTTCAGCTCTTCCTAGCATAAAATTGTCCTTTCTTCTATTTTGTTCCACTATGTGGAAACCAGTAATCAAGCAAAAATACATTTTTTTTATTATTTTTTGTTTTTGTTTGTTTTATGGTGGAATAATTCGATCCACGCCTTGTTTAATTGTATGATAACTTAGAAATATTTTGAAACTTAACCGTTGACAAATTAATATGGCCTTTCAGCCATAGGTTGCCGAGTAGAATGTTGTTTGCGGAAAGAAGTTTTTGATAGCCAATAATCTAGTAGGCCAAAAGCGCAAACAAACTCGATGCAGAGTGGGTCATATGAAAGTCAAGGGTTCAATATTAAATATGTTCATGAATGCTTTAGCATAAAATATATTTTCATTATAAGCCAGATATTCCTATTGTCCCTTGGAAAGGATATCTTTAATTAACAACTTTTACACTAAACATCCGTTAAATTGTTATTTTTAAACCAAAGTTTTTAAATATTAATTTTAAACGTGTTGACATAAAAAAAAATTAAAATATGTAATTGAGTTACTTAATTAAAACGAAATTATTTTAGACGGGGTGTTTCAAAACAAATGCGAAAAACTTAATTATCTTAAAATAAAGGGTAGTTTGTTATATATTCTTCGGGCCAAAAGCCAAACATTAGGGGAATATCGCCCAACAAATATCTCGGAAAAATAATGTTTTTATTTTGTATCTTAAAAACAAAGATAGATAGAACAATAAAATATTACGGAATTATTAGTATTATAAAAACACGCTTCTGCATTTTTTAAAAAAGAATATATATTTAAATATAAAAAATATAAAATAAAAAAATATTTTTCGCTCCGCTTATTAAAAAAAAATGCTTCCGTCATATTTTATTGTTCGTTTTAAAATTAAAACATTTTTTTTCTGCCATATTTCCGCGATATATCCCTAACCGTTGCTTTTTAATCCAACATTTGGATAAGAAACTACCCTTTATTTTAAACAAGTTTTTCACATTTATTTGGAAACATCTTTCGTAAATGTTGATAAAAATAAAATAAAATAACGGTATTCCTACATTTTTATTTACTTCCAACAATGATGGAAATATAAGGCTTATGATGAGGTTTATGGTCGGAAATCTAGACAACAAATTCTTCAACATAATGTTCTTTCGAAATAGTCTTACACGGTGTGAAGATTTCTCGAAAAAGAGGTCCCACAAGTTGTGATTGCTAAAAAAAATATGGCCCATATCAAAAAAATACTGGGCCAGGGAAGTTTATTTATATTTTAGTTGCTATATAAGCTCTTCGATCAGTTTCAATCAATTCAAATATATTTATTTCTTTTAAACAATATTTTTTGTAAATTTTATATTGTTTACCAATAATTTAACATTGTTTACACGCTTTGCTAGCTATCAGGATAACTTCTCCTATCAAAAACAGCTTGAAAGCAGATGAGTAAAAATTTTGAAAGCACTATCTATAACTCTCCACTCTCCACAATAATAAGGCCCCTTTATTATTGTTGCATAAATTATGAAAATGTCCCTGTCGAGAACGAACGTCACCACGTTTCAGTCGTCGAAAAAGAAAATATTTTGATAAGAGGCGGACGAGGCGTCCAAGTGTCCTACGGAACCACTTCCCAGTTAATAACCACCCTTTAATGTGTTTTTGTTGGAGCAAACCTCATAATGAATTATTGACTAAGAATCTAAAAAACTTTGTAATACCTGGGTTTTGTACAAACAAGAAGGTAAGTATCCAACCCTACAGTAAATTGTCTAGACGGTATCATTCGTAACTGACTTCAAACAAACTGTATATATTTAAATTCCGAAAAATAAAATGAAATTTAAATTATTTTATGCCAATACTTAAGACAAACTGTACCGTTAGACTGCAGCTAACATAATAAAGTCTATCCCTGCTGCTATCTAGCACTCAAAAATACAACTAACACAGTTCGACCTTCCGATGACAGATAGCACCCCAAACTGGTTTTTAAAATTATGTGTCATTTAGCAGAAAGCGTGTTTCTATCAAAATTTAGAAAAATGTAATAAAAGCCAGATTCTATTATGAAAATAATTAATAACATACCTTGTGAGATCATAGTGCGACCAGCATAGTAAAGTCTATTCGTGCTGCTATCTATGATGTCCATTAACAACTAAGACTCCACCAACACAGTTTAACCCGTCGATCACAGATGACACCCATAATTGTCATTTAGAATAAAGTGTTGCTAGCAAAATTTCGAAAAATAAAATGAACACCAAATTCTTTTATAAAAATAATTAGTAGCATAAACAGTATGATTGGATTGCGGCTAGCCCATGCACTCTATCACCTACAAGTGTAACTAGCAAAACACCTGACACAGTTTGACCTTCTGATTAAAGATGGCAGCATACCCCAAATAATAATAGTTACTTCCACGAGATGGCGCCACGGATACCAACGCGGAAAGAACAAATGTAAACAAAAATGTTCTTTATTCTGTGGTAAACAATTTTGACAATGAAATGAATTACATTACATGAATTTTCTCATAAGAATGCAGTGAAAAATAACGTTATGTTTAGTTTACTTTTTGAGTTTGTTCAATTTTTATGTCTGCCTCCACAAATTATGTTGGCCCACTATTTGACGTACAATAATTTGTGATTTTGTCGGGATTGTTTTAAGTCTTTTTAGCAATAATGGAAAAGTTAGTAAAAATTACTGGTTATTCCAAACAGTATTGTTACTCGTTTTTCTAGAGATACCCCACAGCCAAGTGCTGGCGGTCAATTGTTCGACACAGAATCGTCAGAGCAAAAAGAAGCTAGAACTGAGGAACCCCAACCACCTTTAAGCCCAAACGCCTTAAAACTTGCGGCTGCGGACTGCCTAAATAGCTGGATCTATTATCTGCAAGTATGTCAGTAGTGCAATGATCCACAAATTATAAATAAACAAATAAAATTAAATAATCTTTATTGCATGCAAAGATAAAACAAACTGTTGCAACATGCAAGGGTGGAGGGTACTGCTAAGTGTATTTTAATTAACTACCGCTCAATATAACTTACCGTTAAAAACTATCAATCACACTCATAAAATAACAAATAATAAATAAACAAAAAGGTTCATAAATTCCACATATCACTAGACTATCAGACAGAGAACGCTTCATATGATTTTGAAATATATGGATATCACAATCTTTATGGGTAGGAGGTACTGAGTTATCAATTAGGGCAAAAGTGTAGGAAAACAATTTTAAGAAGCTATTTGGAATATGTATAAAATATTAGTACTGCTAAGTAACTTGGTTCTTTTGATTATAAGATTTTATCGTCTTTGAATCATGTTATGGTCAAAAATTTCTATAACACAATGAGTTGATAGATTCCAATATATTCTTTACATATCAAACACAAGCTATTCTGAAGCTTTTGTATTCTATACTTATCCAAATTTGTAAGAAAAGTGTCTACAATTACCCCAATACAAATTGAATATTAATTGAAAACAGGTCAATTTCATTTTTTGGCAGTATTTATGGCAAAAGCATTTTTGGCGGTCCAGATTTAATTATGTGGTAGATGAGATCATATGTAAAAACCGTATATAGGAGTGGTCCAGTAGTATATTGTGAAACACTCCTCGTCACAGTCCTATAATTAGACCTCACAGTAGCTCCAACCAACCCCAGACAATTTTGATACCACCTAAAATTTTATAAAATAATTTCAGATGCTCAACACAATGTGCGCAGCTGGTCTGCGTTTATCTCAATCTTTAACGAACTTGTCGCAGCTGCAAAACTTAGTAGTAGCTCAACAGTGCCAAGCAAGTTGGGAAGAGTTGGTCAGGGGTACCGCCTACGCCAGCAACTCGGTTAAAACTCACATCGCTGCCGCCATGCAGGACATGAGCATCGGCGACACATTCACCGAGGCGGACGCTCAAAGGCAGCTCGAACACAACCAACAAATAATAACCGAAAATCTGCTCACATTTATCAATTTGCAATATCAATTTTCAATTGCTGGTTGCGAAAGTTTCGGATCAATGGCGTTGTGTCCTTCTTGTCAAACTACCCCCGGAGGAGTGCATAACTTTGATTGCAACATGGCCGCCGTCCAACAATGTTTCAGTAAGCAAGAGATTAGGTATGAAGCTAACTCCAGTTTAAGGGACTTTACATAATAACTCCATTAGTAAAAAGACTTAAGAGGTTGGATGTGCTTAAATAGCATCTGTAGCTTCTGGTGATCGGCGATTTTGAAAATTTGCCTTATGAAGTTATATTAATTTGAAAAATATTCAGATCTTATAAACACGAATTAAAGTGGTGCTCTTGAAATTTTAATTCAAATTTTGTTTTCTTAGGACTCTTATTAAAATCTATTATTCCATTTAAAAAAGTTTATTATTACCTTTGAAAACGTCAGTTTTTCACACTATCAGCGTTTTTCAATATATACAGGGTGAAATACTTTTGGTCTTCATATACTATTTAAAAAATAAATGGTAACGTTAACCAGGGTTTAAAATGGTAGAGCGAGTCAACTTTTTTCCAATCTAACCATTATACTCCTCACCGTTTCAGAGATGGCTGTTAAAACATAACCTAGTACCCTAACCTGCAACCTAAGTGAACCTAACGTTTACATCTTGTTTTAAATTTAAACAAATAATTGTTGATTATAAAATTCTTATCGACACTTTATGAAAAATTACAAATTGACAGATTTCATTTGCTGTGTACTTTGATTATATATAGCTCCACGTTATTCCAATATTCAATTAAAGATCCCAGATGTCAAGCCCTCGGTTAGAAGAAACTCCTAGACAGCACAGCCCCATCGGCGACATCAGGGTTTCTTCCCCTTACCAAGAACCTGTCACAGGTCCCAGTCCCGTGCATAGTTTTGGAGAGGCAACCAGAGGGCAGCCGGGTCATTTGGAGACCCTTCGTGGACCGTTTCCCACGCCGGGCCCTTTACATACCATGAAACTGCCCTTTCCCGGCCGCACTCTTCGTTCTCCTCTCCATTTCCCCTTGTTTCCGCTGAATTGTCAAAGGAGATGGTCAGAGGCCGCGGCGGAAGTCGGCGGAGTGTCGGCAGAGGGCGGTTCAGAGTCGACCATGCGTCGCTGGTCGATGCCATGGGACACCGCCTGGATAGGAGGCGGAGACGGGGGACTCTCTGGAAATAAGCACGGTTTAAATGTGCCCGGCACCAGCAAGCTGGTGGTGCCTGGCAACAGTTCGCAGGAGAGGAGCAGGAGTACTACGCCCGGTAAGCAGTTTTTTTTTACTGTGTTATTATTAACATACAAACGTCAAAAATTGCAAAGAAATAAATACACAATATAAAGTTATCATAATTATCCAACTTTGCAATATATAATAAATCATAACTACCCAAACCTTACTGAATTCTGTAGAAATGCAGTAGACTTTTGAATAATGAATATAAAAGTATGCAACTATTATGACATCAACATTTTCATATCAAAGTTAGGTTAGGATAAGGTTGGATGACACTTTCATAGAAAAGTGAGGTTAGGACGTGGTGGGTGTTTTGAAAGTTATGCCTCGTAGGGTTCTTGTACTTGTACTTGTCTTTTCTTTCGCTACGCACCCTTTAGCAATACTTTTGAGCGTTAGAACAGCCGTAAATATAGTTCGTACCTCGTACCCCGTAATTAGTAGGATATTTTTCATTAATATTTAAAAATCAGCAAAAACTCGCCAAAACTCAGATACAAAGAATTATTTTAGGTAGAATATAACGTCTGTAGCGGTTATTTCTAAAAGATCAATTACAGAACGACAGTTGAATAAGTTTCATACTTATTTATAATTTATTAACGATTAATTTTTATTTAACTTTAAGAATTTATGTTTTCTTTAATATTTTTTATGGTTTATAGTTTAAAATTGCGCGCTAAATGACAACGAAATTTCTACGGGCGACTTTTTACGCGTTCCCCCTTTTTTGTTGGCCGATAATTTAATTTTCGGGTCGATCGTCAGTCGATAAAACCACGCTGTTGGGAAGGTAGTTTTCGCTGTGCTCGTTCCGCTTTAGCTTCCTGTTTTGCATTTCGCCGGTCGTTAATTTTGCCAAATAACATTTCCGCATCACCATGTAACCCGAAGACAAACCCAGAATACAAGGCAGCTCAGTGGCACCGAGGTAAGTCGCTACAGTTATTTCGTTGCCCCGCTCGGCTTACATAGTTTTCATTTCAAAGTTATTATACAGTCCACTTAAACAATAGTCAACGAAAAGAAGAGATTTAATTTGTTTATTAAGAAATACATTACAATTGTTTTTATGATTACGGTGACTTGAATAGTTGGGTCAGTTGAGAGCACATTCTCTTGTAATTAACAGTTCAGCCTACCTTATGCTATCATTGAACAGCGTTTATGTCTTTTTCTGCGCAATCCTCCTTTTTAATGTTTCATAAAAAATCCTAAATAACTGTCTATCTGGTTAGTTTTAATTGCTGGTGATGAAGTCAATTTTAACGGTTTAGAATCGGTTCCATCTGCACCTGCCTTACCGCAACCGTCTTCCAGTGGCGTGCTTCCTAGCGGCGAGGGATTGGCCGAGGCCATACAATTGCTCTCTTGCAGACCTGCGCGGTCATCAATTCCCACCACTTCGATTCCAGGTCATTCTTACATACCGTTGTGGGCGGAGTCTCACGAGGAAAGGATGCACAGAAGGATGTTTCCTTCTCAAAGGTACTGAAACCGGCGTTGCCAGTTTCAGTAGTTTGTTTTGAATAGGTTTGGTCAGGAAAAAAGTTATCGATGAGTTTCACATTCAGGGGTAATTGGCAATCCGTAGACGTCCCTCATTCGGCGGTGACGTCGGTGACAGAACACTATGACATATTTCCGGCCGGCATTCCTCTGACGTCGAGGAAAAGCAGTTCTTCCACCGACTCCTCTTCGTGTCTCTCGATCCACAGCAGGTCGACGGCCAGTTCGTCGGAAAGGGGATCGACAAGTGAAGGCAGTGGTCCGGTAAGTAGACTTACGTTTTTGAAGATTCTTCTTCAAAAACATGGGAATTCAGCGACCCCGAAAGGCTCGGGAACAGTTTTAATTCATCGAATTTTATTTCAAATAAAAAGAATACCCGGAGGTTATGTTAGTTCCATGGCGAAATCTAGTCAATACATACTCAGTCTTTTCGAGACCTCAAACAAATCAAAATTAATTAATTGCAATTTAAAATGTCTTTCGTTGGCGATCTTAAAGTGAAAATTTTCTTCTAGGGCTTTATGCTAAAACATTCTGTGTTTGCTCTATCTCCGAAAGGAAATTCATAGGGGTCATTTAATATAGCTTCTTTACCCTTACATTTTCATTCAAGAAGAAAAATAAACGGAGATTTATTTACAGTCCTAAAACATCGATCAGTGGTGGAAGCAGAATTCTACATAGCAAGAAATTTAAAAAGTAGTCTACCTTTTTATTTAGTACTGCTACATCAATATGTATTTGTTTTACGGACAATTGGTTCTAATACAACTTAAATACTTTATACTTTAAGCGGCTAGTAGTTCGTTCTTTTTTGTTGCCTACTTGTTTAGAAACTTTATTTCCCTCTATAATAATAAATATCACAATGCTCGACATTTTGAAAGTCTCCCACCTCAATTACCCTTACATTTTGACAAGTTTAGGGACCTTATTCTGGAAGAGGATTGCGATGTAGTTGGAGTCTCTGAAACCAATTTAAAACCGCATATACCTACTTATCTAGTTGAAATTCCAAATTACTATTTCTACATATGGGATAGGGTAGGTCGCGATCATGACGGGGTGGGTCTTTATATTAAAAAAACCATAAAACATGAAACTTTAGACTCATACCATGACGTGATTGAATTTTTCTGGGTAAAAATAAAACTAACTAAATCAAAAAAAATTAACTATTGGGTGTGTATATAGGCCACCAAATTTTAGTCCAAATATATTTTATGATGAATTGGAAAGTATATGTCTTGACCTTCTTCCACAAACTAATAACTTAATCTGTTTTGGGAATATAAATTTACATTTATTCGACATAAGCGACCAACTATCAGATCCAGATTTAATAAACAAATCTTTCATTAACTCCATTCCAATTTCAAATTCAAGGTCGCGAATGATCGACTACTATAAGAACTCTCCTTATTCGCAAGATAAATTTCAGATTGATAATTCTCAATTTCTTCCAGTTCTTTTTGCTGGCGTTTGGATTCTCCTGTTTGGCTAATTTCAAATGCTTCACCAGAGTTTTTTCCTCGGCGCGACCTTCAGTGCAAAGGTCGTTCCCGATGGATACCCCACTGCCCTTCAGTTTTGTAGCGTTTTTAAACAATAGGGTCTTTCGTAGTAAAGAAACAAATTCGATAATTATTGGTGCCCATTCACTTTTGCTAACTGTATAAATATTATTTATATCTCCTTCAGTTATATCCGTTTGTAATAACAAACAGATACGTCTGGGCGCTGCACTCTTGCCTTTTCTTGTCGAAATTACCTGAATAAAGTATATTATTATTATATTCAAACATTTTCAGGTTTAACGCATTTTGATAAACTTGAAGCCTTTAAAAAGGACTTTTCCATCGGCTATTATAGTACTATGGATTAAAGAGATTGCTTACTTTTCTGTCATAATTGTATCCTTTTTTTGAAGAAAAAAAAAACCTAACGATATTAAATTTTTCACTTCGTAAAATAGTGTATCAAGGATACAACATTCCAAATTCTTTATAATAACCTAAAATAAAGCTAAAAAAAAAAGTTGTATATTAGAACGCATTTCCAATTTCTAATTATTCCTCATTTACCAAATCTTACGCTTTTTTATCTCATTATTTTTAAAAGTTCAACTGTGGCCGACTTTTTTTAAAATTATTTTTAAGCTTCTCTAAACGAGAAGAAAGTTAATCTCTTATATATTAAAAACATAAATAACTTCTAGTGGGCGTTCATTGCAAATATTTAAATCGGTTGTCGTAGGATGCCATTAGACTTCACACCAATCTTTACTCCATGTGGAGCGGTAGCGAGCACTTACCTTTCATACAATTACCTGAGAGCCAGGAGCCGCAGGAAGATAGCGACAACGACGACCCGCCGACAGAGAAAAGTGGAAACTCCGGCTTTCCTAGACCGACATAAGTAAGATTTTCATTTACCCCGTGTTTGCAATGTTGTTCTGAAACAACCATTTTCAGATGATGACTGAGCTGGCGTATTATTGACTGGGTAGTTTTGATGTTAGGTCTTAGAGGTTTAAAAAATCGACTGATTTACCATGTACTGGTATTTTTGTTTCCTGTTTATTTATTTCTTAGGTTATGCGTATGAGCAATAACTGACAAACGCTCGTTTACACTTTAGTTAGTCTTGGTTGACACTATCTCGGGTCAACAGTATACCGGTGCTCACAATCGCAAATATCGTAGAAATTAAGCGAAATTAACCCACTTCCGGCAGAGAGGTGTAAGTCGGATTTTTTTAGTCACTTGACATCCAGTCCACCTTCAAGATTACACCTTGCACACGGGACAGTTCTACATGACTGAATTAAAGGAACTTATTTTCATGTACTGACCAACTGACCAATCAGCGTTCTCTTTTTGAACTGTCAGTAGCTGAGCAGTCTTTTGTTTTTTTTTTTGAAACTTTGTGATACTTCAAACAAAAAGTCTTTTCATTAAAAGAAGAGTCGTACTTTCTTCATTCTTATTCATTTTGAAATAATAATATACTAATGTGTAGCAACCTTGAGGTCACCAAAACCGACTGGCACCATCTAAATCCAGACCTTGAATTATAACTATCACCTTGGTGTATCCGACTTATACCACAGCCCAAGAATAGGTGAAAGGACACCAAAAGCTGAAGTGGGCTAATATGTTTTTACCGTAAGCAGAGATAGAAGAGGACTTAAATGAAACCAGCACTACTCCCATGTGCTGCTGTTGACATAACTCGGTTTGTTTTTAGTGTTTCGAATAAGACGCCAAAAGCTTTTTTTAATGTCATCTAAGTGTATCTTCTCATTTTTATTGTGATATGTGGACCAAATTAGATAGGTCTTGTATTCGTAATTAATGTATGTTCGAGAAATGCTCTCTTTTAACCCATGATTCCAGACTCATGGTGGTCAAGCCGCAAATGTTTGGTTCTATCCATGCGGAAAAAAATCGCCATGCCGAATGTAAGGCAATATTTACTCTTGGATTGTATACCTAAATACGTATTGATTGGGTTGTTTTTCTGTACAGTAATATATAGGGTTGGGTTAAAAATCGTGATATTAATGCGTATGGGATAGTCGCCGTTTTCGATCTGGGGGTAGGTTTTGTGAACAGAAAAAACGTTACGCCTTGTTTTTTTATTGTAAATGTCTTTTCGCTGGCCGAAAAGTTTATAACATTTTGTATATGACTGGCTATTTATTCAAGATCAAATACAAACTATACCAACATATTTGGTTGATTTTGTTAACATTATCATTAAGCTAAGTGATTATTATAACTATTATACAAATTTACACATTTTCTATATACATATAATGAAGCCTACAACGAAAAGTTTAAGTTAATATGGCATTAGACACTAAATTTAAAATCAATAGCTTTAAAAAAATCATCTTTACCAAAATGTAAAAAATCTGCAGTCTTTTAAACTTCTTTGAAAATATTGTCAGTAAACATATTTTTTTACTACTAAGCATAACTATTTAGACCAGTAAATTAACCGTATCTTTGAAAAAAACAAGAAGAGAGACACAAAAAGGACTGCGGCAAAGTCCAGCCTTAGATAGCAGTAAAGGATGGGGAAAGAAAAAACCCAATAAGAGAAAACTGGGTGATTTAACAGGAAGAGTTAAATGAATTGAAGATTGAGAAGATTTGTTCAGTCAACTTCCTCAAATTCGTCGTCCTCACCGTAGTCGATATCATCCTCGTCGATTTCGTTCTCGCTTTCGTCGGCTTTTGGGCAATTGGTGCACCTGAAATTGTTCAAACATACATACGAAATGGTTTTTATTTGTGTTTCGGTACAACAAGAAAATAAAATCACTTCTTAAGTAAGTTATCCCGTACTAATTAGAATTGTTTGTAAAGAATATATCTCAAAAACTGGAAAAATTAGTAATGAAACATTAAATATTAACTTATTAATTATTAATATTAAATATAGTCGCTAGAGCCGTATAGATCTTTGGAATTGTTGAAATTAGTATGTATTAAAATAAATTAAAATTTATAATTCTAGAAAACAAAAAAAAGGTACGCCATTTAGTTTTTTCATTAATAAAAACACAAATACATGAATAAACAGTTTTTTTATCTCTCTTTAACGTTTTTACATGATTTTAGAGAGGTCGCTTTACTATTAGACCTTTATCTTTTATCTCGATTTTGTATTCTTAGTTACTTGATTTTAAAAAATAACTTCTTAACACTCTGTATCTTCAAATCAAAACGTTTTTGGATTTTTTGCCTACCAATCAAGAAATCACCTCCTGAAGTTTAGCACTTAAAAAACGCCCTGTATAATGCAAGAATAACGAATTCTCCATAATGTTTCTGATACAAAGTTTTATATAAAATATGATATATACATAATTGCCTAAAACAATGTTATATGTTTATATTTCTAACGGCAAAAATTGAATATAAGCAAAAATAAATATGATTATGGTCTAACGAAACATCGATAAAAATGAATTTGCGTTTTTTGAGATAAAGTCGTAAAAAAACTAAATCAATTTAATGAAAATTTTCCTTAAAATATGAATAATAGAGCTCGCAAGTTATGCGCTTTATCACTGCTTTAATAGATCAAAAAATAAAGGATGAACATTTTAAGAATATGATATATGATATTTCATAAAAGCGTAGAGTGGCATTACAAAAATATATTGTAAACGCGCTGTTATGGATATTATGATAACTCCAAGAAATGTTTGGACAATTTTTATGCGTCGTTGCCAACTTATTCGGAAATAAATAGAAAATATAATTTATAATATTAGTCTTTAATATAGTCAAATACATTACTAACAGTTTAGTTAAGTGCTGTAGTAATTATTTAGTGCGGGTTGCCTAAACTCTTGCCAACGAAATTTAAAGTAATTTTTCTCTGATTTTTTTTTAATGGGCTTTGTTAAATACAATATAATAGATTCCGATTTTTTCTCAACACGCGTTTATATAAATTTTCCGAAAAATACTTTAACTTATCTAGTGAGCCCTGAATCTAAAATAAAAGTGGGACATTTATATTTCAAATTTCTACCACCGATTTAATACCCTGCATACTTAAAAATACTTTTGAAAATATATATATTTTTTTCGTTTCCAAAAAAAAAAACATTTTTTGATAACAAGGGTGTGGTACGAAGAAAAAAAGAAGAGAAAATACGAATAAAAATTAAAATATCACTAATAAAAGAAGCTAGGAATCAACAAAAAAGAAAAAAACCCTAAATTTAACTTTATTTCCACCACTCATTCCGCAAAAAGGCTCTAACCTGAAGGATATTGGCAACAGTCGTTGACATTCGTGAGCTTTTTTAGATGATTTGAAGTTCGTAAAATCACGAGTTCGGATACAAGCATAAATTTCGAAAAATGTATTAGAAACAGAGCAATGTTCTTGAGAATTTACTTTAAAAGTCTTATAATTGTACGTTAGGTAAGACTTGTTAATTAAAGGTAAAACTTGTTGCTTATTCTTGTTTGAGCCATTAATCTGTCTGCATATTTGGTTACGAAATTTCAAGTACTCTGCTGGCATGCGATGAGTAGAATCAAAACAACTTGGTTTTGATTAAAGACAATATCGCATTCGAATAGTTTCATGAATGGATGTTTGCTTTATTAATTTTATTTATTTATTTTTTTTTTTTATTTATTAACAGTGAATGTTTGTCAAAAAAATGTCTTGTTTAAGAATCTGTAATTTGTTGATTAATTTTTTTTTTTCATTTAGTAAATGTATATCAGAAGATATATGAAAGAATCCAGTCTCGGGTGTAACAAAACTGAAACACAAAAAATACACCTTTTTTCATCAATTAACCTCTACTTTGAAATTATTTTACTTAAAACATTTCTGACACCGAGCGGTTAATTTTTTTAAACCGGCAAAACGTAAGATTGAAATGCAAAAATATTGATCTGTGTTATTTTAATCCCACCAAAAATAGAACCAAGTTTATCAGGTTTTACAAGTTTACACTGGCCGACCGGCGGTACAACAAAAACCGTTTGGGAAAAATCTCAACAAATCTATACCTGCTTTCGTTGATACCGTAGTTGATGCAGCTCTCTCCGATGCACTCGCAACAACTGTCGTGGAACCACCTGTAGCTCGACGAGCCCATCGTTTGACAGTTGGACTTGCACTTTGCCCAGCTCATGCATTCCGACCAAAACGCGACAGTGCAGTTCTTCGTGATTATATTGTTTTTCACGGGAATCACATCTTGCTCGGCGCCCTCTGTCGACAAATCGATTAAATATATAAGAGACGATCAGCGGGAAAACGTACGCATGTGCAGTTTGATCTCTTTTTTGACGGCGTAGAGGTTGATGTCTATGTCGATCGGAAATGTAGTGCTGTTCCATCGGTTCATCGGATCTGGGGATTCGGTAAGCACGTTGAAGAGACCTGGCACAGAAGATTCCGCCAAATCTTCGATGTGGGATTTTTTGCTCAAGGGACTGCTGGTAGAGTTTGGTTTTGGGCACATATCTGTAATGTTAATGATGTTATACCTTGACGCTATAACATTTTGTCCAGTCTGTTTACATACAAGCAGGCTCGGCTCTTGTTAATTTTACAGGAAAGTAATTAATTTTTTAGGATTGTGCTTACAGTTTTATTATCTTTGTTATTTAGTAATACCTCCGGCAGTCGTCAATTAAATGGATTTGAACGAGGCAAAACAACATACTGAAATGTGCTCTCAGAACAATATTGGAGAGAGTATTCTGTACATCGTCGTTATACACTGGGGGCTCTAATTAAGAACCAGTGATAGCAAAGAACGACCCCTATAAGACTTACGTGACAGGTATCTATACATATCGACTTATTGAAGAATTACCATTAACCACAGACGTTTGCTCACTCAAATCCAACCAAAGAGGTGAACAAGGGTGGTAACTTCAATTTTGCATGCCTTATGTTTTGGAGTACCATAAGCTGGTGACTTCTAGTTTTTTTTTAATAACGTGTTACAACCTGTTGCTTTGCTACTGGAAGAACATATACTGCTGAAGTTGCTAGAAACTTCGACAAGTGAAAGTAACCCTTGCTCCTTGGCCTGTCAGAGTCGGTTCCCATATCTTATACTGTATTTGCAATGTTTATCTCAAGAGCTAAAATTGTGCTGGAAGAACCTACCACAGGCCGATGATGAGTTAAAGAATATTCAAACTTACGCGGAGGAGCAACTCATTATTGAATTTTTAAAAATTCCGTTTAACACATTTGTTTAAAAATATTATCTATTTTTATTGATATTTATTAATTTCTCAAAATTTCTATGTCAAACGGCATGTGGTAAAACGCGTTATTGTGTGTTACAGTGCCGAAGGTTCCAGTCAAGAGTTTGATTAGATTGCTAAATTCAAAAATTGCTTTTGGTTTAATATATGTTTTAACTTTTTTAAGAGAAATGCTTTTGAAAGTAGTTTTGAGACTAGATTATGGCAGTGATATTTGAAGTTTAGGTTATTTTCGGAGACCCAGAAATTAGTTTTTTCGGTAGTTGTGATGGATGTTATTTACGTTAATTTCTAGTTTTAATTATTTTTTGACAGTGATGGAATCTCAAAGCTGCCGATTTTGAGGGATCCGAGCTATGATTAGAGAGCCGCTTATTTAGTTTCCCCATAATAACTAAATCCACATCACCCGTATCTCGAATGTGCAGTAATGTGCAAACTATGCAAAAAACATAGTTTCGGCTACTTCATCCAGTCTGTTTATAGACAAAATAAATACAATTGGAGAGATAACAGAACCTTGGGCAACGCCTTCCGAAATTTTCATGGTATTTGAGTTAAAACTTGGCATGTTATTTTGAATGTCGACATTTTATATACTTCCATATACTGCTCAGTATTGTGGAGAAGATTTAATCAATTCTAGGGGCCTTCTAATCACTCCATAACCCTGACAATAGTCTCCTTTGTATTGTTACATTTATCTGCATAACGCATTCACCTGGTAGAGGCAAAACTCTTTAATTAATATTTAAAAAATAAAAGATAGTAATATATAGTCCATAATATAGTCCTTTTGCTGGAAACATACTATACCACTAGGTACGTCGAAAAAAGTTATCTGGAATAATTTATCAAATATGCAATTGCTTAGTAACGGTACGGTAATTATAAATGTGGGAAATTAATAAATAAAATCGGTTGTGCTGGGCCTGAAATTCAAATTTATTTGCCTATAAAAAAAATCAAAGAAATAGTTGTTCTTTCATCGAGACGTAGATAAAAAAAAATTAATCATTTCTGATCCGCAGCGACAGTTGTGTACAGAGTTTCCCATTCTCGACGTTTTCGCGGGGTATGTATTTATTTTTTTTAAAGATAGAAAAAAGACCCAATTTTGGCAATACCAGGAACATCCAAAAAGTTCTCAGATTGCACACTTCCATTTTGATCGTTGTGTTTTCGAAAATATTAAGTTGCAAGCGCAGTTATTTTTAATCATTTCATTAATTTTGATATTGGTACGCAGTAGCGTACAGTCCAGTCACAGAAACCCAAGAATTGTATTTGCCAGTTTTAAAAGCCGAGCCAAGATCATTTTTTGTAAATTTAGCGGATATTTAAACGTTTCAAAAAGCCGATTTGGTGATAAAGGGCAAGCCCTTATGTTAAAACTTTGGGAATATTTAACTCGAGAAAAAAAGTGCGGGGCAACCGTATTTACTGTCTCCATGCTTGAAACCATCCCATTTTTATGATCGGCAAATTTTAGTTTCTGAAAATTAGATATTTCTCTAAGATCGGAGCATAAGCTTGTTTCTGGGTGCATGACAAGCCATCATGAACATAAACTTAAAGTTCAGACCAGTCATATCGCAGCACACTGAAGAAATATGGTTAAGGAGATCGCTATATAATTTTACATGGTGGCTCTCAAAATGGTTTTGTGGAGTATGCCAGTTTTTTTTCAAATCAGGCTACAATTTGGAGGCGTACACTGAAAATTTTGAAAGTTGATTTATATTTCTTTTTTATGGGAGAAGTAGACTTCTCCTAACCTAACTAACTAAACTAACCTAAGAACAGAGATAAAAGTTTTAGTTTTGTACCCACGGAAACTCTCACTTCTTCAATACAAATATGCTTTGAGAAAAAATTAACACGTAATTTTTTTACTTTAAAACTTGGATCAGGCAGTGTTTCGTAGAGTGGTTGCAAAAAAGGAATATTCCTTTCAGCCAAGTTTAATGAAATACCAGTTAATGCATAAGTTATTCCTAATTATTTTTCTTCGAATATGAAATTATTTCAAAATATAATCTTTTAACAATGCACAAGTTAGCATTGGAAAATGGCCATCGCGTTTTGCCGCTTCCGCCTTATTATTGCCAATTTAATGCGATAGAGATGTTTGGTAGTATAGTAAACGCTGTTATGATGCCAAATAGGTTCCATCAATCCCATAACATCTCATGCTGTACTGCATTTATGGACTGAAGCACTTGCTCAAATAGTAAATAGTAATAATACTTCTGCTGGAATATTTGGAGTATTTATAACACGTTGTTTCGGGTTTCACCCAAAAAATGGAAGAACTATTGTATTATGCACAGAGTAGAAAATACTAAAAGCTAAAACATCTAACAAAGTGTATGTAACATACCACGTTTTTATAAATTTTGTAAAACCATTTTTCAGCTAAGTAGTTCTTTAGTTTTGATTTAAAATTTCTGTTCCATAAAAACAGCCGCAAAAAGACACTCCGTATCGTATTCTAGATTCTTAATTAGATTAGTAAATTTGGATTAATTGCTTTTTGTTTTAACTTTTCTAAGAGGAATGCTTCTGAATGTGGCTTTGAGAACACCTGATAAGAGAGACTTGGGAAAGGGAAAAGCTGATTGATGCTAATACTCTCCCAGTTGTTATCGGAGGAAGATATTTTTGCAGATGAGTTTTCGTTCCCCTTTTTTGCTCTTTGCATTGGTTTTCGTTGTTTTTGTTGTTAAAGCATTTGGAGTTTTTCAAAAACAAACCTATCTAATTGATATTCGTTTTCTCCCACATATTTGATGCATTTTATCTTTTCCGTTCCTATAAATACGTCACAAGTTGCTCTCAAGTGGCTGTTATAATCTCGTTATAAGGAAATAATAATAAGGAATAATAACTTTATTATTTTAAATGGAACACCGTGTATATTTTTGGAATCCGCGGTTAAAATAAAGATCACTTAAGAAATTCCTACTCGAATTTTGCATAGTTTAGGCAGAAATTGAGCTTGTGTTTTTTTTTTTCATGTTTTGATTGCCCAGATAAAATTGTGTCGTGACGCTACTGATCCAGGTATTGCAACGAAAATTTAACCACAGACTAAGGAATTCGCCGAAACGGCATCACCTATTTGGGATAAGATAAGGCGCATCTGTCAAACTGATTGGATCTTGGATCAGTAGCGTAACAACACAATTTTATATGGGGCAATCAAAATATGAAAAAAAAAACACATAACCTCAATTTCTCAAAACCTAAACTATGCAAAATTCGAATAGGAATTTCTTAAGAACGTTTTTAAAGTATTTTAACCAAGGATTCCAAAAATGCCGAAATATACAGCGTGTTCCGTTTAGAATAACAAAATTGATGTCGGGGCGGACACTTTTGGGACACCCTGTATCAACAAAAATTATAATATTTTAAATCTAGATCCAGGAAACTTTTTCAAGAAACTTTTTTTCATATTTCCTATGGATTTCCAGATCGTATAGTGGATCGGTTTATTTGGCCCACGGTGTACCTACTTTAAACTAATAAAAAAATAAATAATAATAAAATCGGAACGCGACTAAAAATGTTAACAATATAGCTTAACACATACGGATCGTTTTTGATTAAGTCACTATACGTGACGTAACTGGACAACTGCTCTGAATGAACGAACTTGACCGTCTCTGATAATTGTATTGTATTGATTGTATTTCAATGTTAACCAATTAACAACACAACAGTTATAGAAAGACACTTTAGTCACGAGTTTGTTCAGACACGCTGGGAGTAGAAAAACGATTTGAATGAATTTTATTTTAGATCGCAGTTTAAGAAAATTAAATTTTATTACACTCCCTTACGATTACCTAAATTCGACGCGGTACAATTCAAATGTTTGTTTTATCAATTTCTACGTAGCGCGATATCAATCATCGCGGTTTAATTAAAAACACATTTTTAAAACACACACACCCATGGATGTTTTTACGCAGATTTGTAAATTGGCAATTCAGCATTATGTTAATCGTCCGGCAATTCTCATTACCGTAGAAACGACTTTTTTCGCGGAAGAGGAATTCCAGCGTGCACCTGCTCCGAGCAGGGATCGTTGTTTATTTAACAATGTTTAATTTTTGACGGAAAACAAGGCGTTGGCTAATATTTATGTGTGCGCTTTTTTGCTGAAATTCCGTCAAGCTTGCCGTAGAACCCATATAACATAAATAGAAGCTGTCCGCTCCGGGAGCTATAGCTTTTTCGTATAAACCATATAGCTGACAGTACGGGCAACATGGAAGGAATGTTGCTTTTAAATACCCCAGTTACACCTATACAGTGGTTTTCAACATGGCCGCTGACAGTTCGTTAATTTTACAGTTTTCTGTTTGTATGGGCTATTTTTCGACAGTATATTCTCAAAATATGGTTTTATTTTAAAAAATAGTTAAGTATGTGCTAGAGAATGGAGCATTGTGCAGGTTAGTATTTGAAATTTGGGGCAGTTTACTCGATCTAAATTATGAGGCAAATTTTCCAATAGAAAAAGGGAGTAATGGGTATTGTTCCGTTTCTCTTACTCACAAATAAATGAGAGAATGTGGTGTTCTCGCCGTTTGATTACTTTATTTACTGATATATTGTTTTTTTACTGGGTGATAAAACAAATTCGGATTAAAATTTTTGTATAAAATAAAATTCATAATTAACTTCTTAAAAACCTTCAAAAAAAGCGAATACACATTGATATCCTTAAAAATTCACAAAATTTAATTCACCTTCTCTATAATAAGTATTATTTAAAAAAAACTTAAAATACACACAAACGAATCTAGCTGGTGAAAAATTGCCGGTAAACAAATTTCTTAAAACCATGGACTGGTATAGGAAACGCTGTATTGTCGTCAATTATTATAAAACACCCACTATAATTTGATGTAATGAACTCTAACATGCGGGTGCTACTTTTTTTGGAGTTAAACAAAGTGTACATTAACAAGTTATTAAGTTATCTTCTTAACTTGTCACGTGTTACGTCAATATTTCCTTATTCGAAGTGTCCAGGATATTCTTTCCATCACTTTTTATTTTATATCTTTAATCGTATCTGTGTGATAATTATGTCACATTGTCCACACTTACGCTTGGTACCTCACTTATTTTTAAATATGTAGAAAGATGCGAGTTTCGAATAGCAGGCTACTTTTTTGTGAAACAAAAGATGGCACAAATGAAAACTTCCCCCTCTTCGTTTTTGATACATTTAAAAGTATCCCTTGTATATTAACTACCCGATAACTTATCAAAAAGTTAATAATTCCTTATGTAACTTACAAATAGTTATTGATATTATGATGTAATGAAACGCCCTGTATAATATAATTATTTATATATTATATAATATATAAATTATTATCTATATATTATATAATTTTTGAATAAATAATGCGAAAATTTAGCATTTTGAATAATTTATCTTTATAAATAAGAGGACTGCTATTATAAAAATTGTTTTACCCCATTCTACAATATTTTTTGTTAACAAAAAATAAGTTGAATAGCAAACTGTTCAGAGTTTAAGACTAATTCTGATTTAAGCTGTTAAACGAAATTCTGGTGGACGTTTGTAAAAAAGTTTGTTGTTTGTTAAAAAGTTTTTACAAAAAATTTATCTCTATCCTATGCATTCGTATTTATATGTATATACGATAATACGGCACTCCCAGGTTTTCATTTTTTAAACTTGACCCAAAATTCACCTCCTTAGGTATGAGAACTCACTTGGTATAGTTTTCAGCTTTGCCGCAGAAGTAAAAGTTCTATTTTAAATATAAAACATCCGACGCTGATGAGAAATGATGGTCAAAATAATGCGAACAAAGCTGGGTGACAGTGATTTGGTCGACCGACATATTTGAAAGTGTGTTAAATACTGGGTGTCGATCTATTAATTATCACAATTTACCAAAGTCCAACTTGAAAACCAGAAGGATATTAACTGCATTTGCATTAAGCTTTAACTCACGCTGATGCCAAGTCACATTTTTGGCGAAAAAATATTTTCTATACAGTGCAGATCTACGCTAACGCACTCGATAAATGGAACTAAAATTTAGTACTCTAGAATACAGTACAAATTGTCCTTTTTAAGTCAGTCAACTCACTGGGAATTTGTTTTTTTTTTGTTTAATTAAATTTTGGGCTTATTATGTCTGCATATCTTAGATAAATGTTTGTATGTGTTCAAAAAATAAATCAAACATAAATTTAACACTACATGAATAACTTTGGTATCAATATCAGTAGGTCGAAGAGAAAGAAAGTTTGAGTCAAAACTACAGAATTATTAAGTTGAAAAATGTTTTTACAAAGTTTTTAAAATAACGTGCTATGTTATATACACTTTGTCAGATGTTTTAAAGTAATTTTGTATCTTTTTGTGACAATTCCTACACAAATAGTAAATTAGTCTTATGGAAGTAGACTAAACTGAACTGAACGGTATTAAAAATATTAATTATGTTACTTTTTAGATCATTTAAATTTTTGGCAGTACTTAATAAATCCCATATAAAAAAGTCAACAATCGCTGATAACGATAAGGAAGTTAAATACATTTAAAAATCAGAATAAATGTAGTTAAAGTTCGTCAAGTTGGCAAAACTTTGCTTTACTAAATGTCCATTACAAAGGCGTGTAAGATATAGGTTGGCAACCTGGCATAAAAATTAAAAAACATCCTCAAACATTTTTTGAAGGAAATGCAAAATGATATAGGGGTAAAAAATATATTTTTGTATTATATTAATATTTAAAATTTGATTTTATGTATTGTCTACTAAACTATTGCCCATCTACGCGAAGTCAACTCTTACCCACGCAAGAGCAGCATTCGTTGTACAAAAATCCCAAGCAGTTGATGCAGTCTTTGCAGCACGTGCAGTTATTGTTTTCGAAGTTGAATTCGCAGTTGCAGGACTTCGTGAGCAGACATTTACTGACCACGCTGCCGCAAACTGCTTCGTTGCAGGACCAGATTTGGCGAATTTTGAAGACGATTAGAACTGCCGAGAAGACAAGCACGTGTCTGAGCATCTTGTTGTTGGATCTGAAATTTTTGATACTCATTTTAAATACAATAAGATCATTTTTGTTTTATTCCACCCACAATAGGAAGTTTAAGAGAGTTAACAATAAAGTCAATAACATACTAAATAAAGACCTAATTTTAAAATTTATAATCGAATTTCAGTGCAGATTTGGTGGAAATTATCTTTTTGGTTTACCCAAACTTAATCTTTCAAGCAGATACATTTTTTTTTACGTTTCCATATTCAATCTTATGAGCTAATTCAGTTTTTGGGATAGTTTTCAAAGTTTTAAACCGTGTAGAGTTGGATTCTAATTTTTATTTAATTTTCTGGTATTCATTTATTCAAAAATATCTTTATTTTTGTGGCAAAGCATTTTTTTTTAAATATCTGTTGGCATTAATTGAAGGAAATTAATATCGATGACCATATCATATCGCTTAAATCAAAATATATTTTTTCAAATAGGTTTCAAAAGTGAAAGGTTATATCGTATATTAACCACTCGCTCCGCTGCGTTCCGCTCGTGTCAAATAAACTCGTGAGTCAAATGCCGGTTACCGCACTTTTTGTATAATATACTATTTTCTATTCCCTAATTGCACACCGATATAGCGTGCGGGAAGCGTCACTTTTCCACGTCAGATTCGTTTCCCACGGATCCGAGTTACTTCGGACATTTCCGGGATTTTACCGCACAGGTTTGGGGAGCAATCGGATTGTTTTCGGAGATTTTAACGTACGGTTTGAATTTTGACGTTGTCAGTGAATGTATTGGTGTTGTTTTGCAAAAATGTACCCAAAAACTAATACACAGAAAAATGTTATGCAATATATCAGACAATTTAAATACTACGTGCTCACATTTATAATTTGTTTTCCATAGAAATTTTACATAACGTTCGCATGAACTTGAGTGGTTTTTACAGTTTTTATATTAATATCTGGCCAAGACCAACTGTACGATTTTCAAATATCCATCAATAATCAGTATAAACAAAACAAAATTGCAGGTTAGCCCCTGCTTTTTCTAGCTTATACAATCTTAAAAATTTAATCCTCTTAAAAGCTTTAACTTTGGATGATTTTTCTTTCAATTTCAGTCTTTTTCTTTAAATAAACTACCTCATGATCAATTGTAAAAGTTAAATAAAGAACATAACGTTTTAAAATTGTGTTTATTCCGTTGTTTATGACATATCCAATGACACCTCTCTCTGTCTAACGTACACAGTTAAAAAGAGACAACAGCAGAACCAATCGGAACGATAAACGAGCAGGTTTAATGGCAACTAAATATGTTGTTTGAATGCTACGAAATTTAGTAATCCGAGAATCTGTTATTATTTTTAATTTGTTAAATTGTGATTTTTTCGCGACGGTCGTAGAAAAAGTATAGTATGCAGCACGTTGGGTAAACTCTTTATCTCAGTCGTTTATTAAGCACTCGTTCCGCTGGGCTCCGCTAGTGCCAAATAAACTCGTGAGTCAAATGCCGTTTACCGCACTTGTTGCGTAATATATTAGTTCTTTATTTTAAAATTTAATGACATAGAAAGAGAAGCTTTACTAGAGCTATAGATTCGTTAGTGATTAGAATTTTAAGTATGGCCTGTTCATAGATATAAGAAAGTGATCAATTGCTTTTGAACGGATTATCCAAGGGTGGTCATTAACATACAATACAACAAGATTATGAGCTTAATTATAAATTAATTAATTACCTTAATTAATAATAATAATCTTGTTGCATTGTATGTTAATGACAACCCTTGGATAATCCGTTCAAAAGTATTTGGTCACTTTCTTATATCTATGAACAGACCATACCAGTAGAATTATTAGAATAGAATATAGTGTTGTTTGTGCATGTGAAAGCAGAAGCTAGAACAGGAAGAAAAGAGGTAAACAATCGTTTTGAATACGAACCGGTCTTTTCTAATAAAGCCTTCCGGGATAAATTGGTAGATAAATATCAAAATAGGGTTTTTGCGTGTGATCAAAGGCAACCTTGAATATTAAATCACTTTTAATGTTTTCATTAAATTAACCTTTTGTAGGATTCTCAACAAGCTCAACAGTTTTACCCGGCTCTGTAATTTGTATTTGCCACTCTAGTTTATAGGTATAGATATTGAAATAAAATAAGTTTTAAACTGCTAAGGAGATTATTAAGTATTTTAAAGGCTAGCCTGAAGGCTATGCCTCTTCAGCGTTGGATATCCCCAGATATCCAACATGATATCCAACACGTTTTCAGTTGCTTCCTAGAAAAATTTCACAGTCTGGTAACAACGCTCTGTATGTTGTTTAAGCTATGCGTTTAAAAAATCGTATCGAATTTTAGAAAACCCGCCAAATTCCGATCACCATTTTTAACCACGAGCGATACAAATCGTTTCACACTCAAGAAGCTGCTAATGCAACACCTGCTATCGCGTTATTATAACCAATTAAGAAAAAATGCGGATGTTTACACCTGCTCGGGTACCCGTCACGCCGCTACTTACTCTCTTGTCGTTGTCCAGAAGCACTTAGGGACGTCGGGGGACTTTGGAAATACTAAAACACTTTGAACGGACCGCGAAACAAGAAAATACCGACATCAAAACACTGCGTAAGTCGACTGGTCTCTTAATATCGCAACGCACAAACTTATTAAATCCGCTTCGGTGCGAGAATGCTAGACTGAGTGTTCCTCGTTGACTGTTCCCCCACTATGTCTGGCGTTTAAACTTGCGAGACGGCTTAAGTTATGTTTGTAGATCAAAGGGTTTAGAGAAAAAACACGCCAGTGGGAAATGCGTTCGGGTGGAATTTATCCCTTCCGTGGGCCCAAGCGGTCGTTACCCAGTACGTGGTTACTTTGGTATCTGATTTTTCTGGTACATTTTGGTTATTTTTGGTTAGCTGGTGCCGCAACGGGCAATATAAAGGGTTCTCAATAATTTTCACCTTTTAAAATTTCTTTGGCGATATACAGACTGTCGCAAAAGTGGTAATGGTATCAAATGGAATCTCCTGAACATTGTAGAATTTAGTCAAATAGTCAAAATTAGTTTCTAGGTTTACGATATCCTCATCTCATAAATTGAACTCCACATTGTTTAAGTTGCCAGGGATTGTACCTTTTAATTAAATTAAATTAAATTAATTAAATTAATATTATTTTTTAGAATTATTGACAGTTGGATCGTTATTGGTGTGTTATTGTTTAGTCCAAATGAAAGTTACTTAAAAGAATGGAGTATTGATATAATTTTAGTCCTTGGTGAATCCAAACAAAATGCAGTTTTATGTTATCTTTAGTTTTTTTCAGGTTTCTGAATATTGGCAAAAATCTTATCTATTACATATTTTTCCTATTATTTGTGTTATTGTTTCTAGTAGCTAATAGTTACAGCCCAACCAATAAATCGACTTTGAAGCAAAACCATACCAAATTGACATATCCAATAAATTATGTGATTTCTCCATGTATTATGGATAATCAGATGGAACAACACTTTTATTTCGAAAACACCAAAAATGCGAAGAATTAGCTGTAATAGGGCAATCCATTAATACTATAGTTGTCGCTACTAACACTTCTTACTAGATTGGAATACATTTTTGGACAGCCTGTATAAGATGCTAATTGGGATATAAAATATGACCCATTAATACCTCATAACTTAAATACGTCTTCAGCGTAAGTCTTAAGTGTGTTAAGTGAAAAAAAACATTAAGATTTAGTTATGACAAACATTGGTGAAACTCGCGTTTATTGTGACCGCAGAATTCAAGAAGGCTAATAAATTAATCCTGTAATAATCAGGAAGGAAAATTTTATAAGCAAAAATTGATGTTCATATATTTTGAAATGGAGTCTAAGGAATAAAAACACAATAAAAGACACGAGGTATACTTCTACCCCCCGTATGAGAGGTTCGTTAGAATTCCTATTTAAATTAAATCTGTTTTTTGGCCCCCCCGTACACTTGAAAATGCTCGCCCCAGGTAGCTATCTTACCTTGTTTAGAACCTATATGACTTCTTCAGTAATGAACCGATAGTTTAGACCGAGTGAATTGGAGAAAATAGTTTCAAACATTTTTAGTAATCGGCAAACCTAATGGAAACCGCGCTGTTTCTAATCTTAATGAAGACATTTTTGACTGTTACTACATATTTAGATAGTCTCAAGGTTCGAAAAAGTACTTTCCGAGAAAGGATTTTTAATTTTGCTTTGTTTTGTTATGATGTTTTATTTAATTTCCCTCCTTTTATTTAATTGGTTGTATATATTTATACATGGTGATTCAAAAGCGAAATGCAATATTTTAAAACAAAAGTATTAATATGTATATATATATATATATATATATATATATATATATATATATATATATATATATATATATATATATATATATATATATATATATATATATATATATATATATATATATATATATATATATATATATATATGATTCGTTAGTATCATATATACATGGCACGAATATATTCATTGTGCGAGAAATGTTGCTAATGTTATTGTAAATATTCTATTATAGACAGATCAAATATTTACAAAAATTTATACTTAAAAAATTGTGTATAATGTGAATCTTCATTTGAAATTCGAATGTTGGTATTGCTTTTTGGTACTTTGGCAACCCTGCCATTAACTAAAATAAATTATAATTTGTCACCTAGTAAGTTTAAATTTTGGAGAACCGCGTATCAACCTCAATATAACTTGATTTTGAGTATATGAAGTTTTGTAGGTATTCATAATAATTGTTTTTGTAATTCCAATACCACTCGCCAGTTAATTCGAAAACGTTTATGGAATTTGACAAATAAATAAAAAGAACTACCAATTTTAAAAAAAACCAAGGGGCGCCCCTGGTTCCAACGGTAACGATCATTGTTTTACCTGAGAAATATGCACCGATTTATCTTTACCTGTTTTCTTAGCTTGCGTTCTTTAACTGGTCCGTAAACAATCCCGTTGAGAAGTGAAAATGTCTTCATTGCCTTCATTCAAACCCTCGTTCCGATTATCGGGTACTTCCTGTCGATGAAACAGTGGCACCTTGTTCTTGGTGATCTAGTTTTAAGTTAAGTTAAAAGGCAAAACAGACAAGAATACGCAATATTTGATTTTTTTATATTCATTTAGTTTTCAATGCAGGGTAATAAAAAAGAACGCTACGAAATTACATATATTAGTGTTGGTTTTAGCATGGGTGTAAGTCGTACGGATAAACGACGGCACTGAAAAATTTGCGCAGACGACCCATCATTAAAATCTACAAGAATGTGGCGCGGTCAGACCCAAAGGCGACCACCAACATAGTTCTAATAAATGCCGCTCGTATCCTAATTAGTTATTTATGTTGCCTACCTAATATTAAAGTAATATTAAAACTCATAATTATCTATTAATGCATGTTTTTTAGCTTTCCTCTATAAATTATAAATCGGTTATTTTGACCCGATAAAAAAATGTGAAGTACATTTAGAGATAAATCAAATACTACGTTCTTAAAAGTAACAAAACAATTACCAATTCCAATCCAGTTTATGTTTAAATTGACAACTGCACTATTAATTAATTTATGAAATTAGTGTTTGCCTAAATATTTTTAGTTTACTTCTTGGATTAAGAAGGCAAGCAAAGACGTCATATGACTTAGGGGATACGTGATGTCGTAAACGAATTTCTATGGTACAGAACCGGCATCGCTAACAATATTATTTACCACAGTATAAATGCGACCCGCAACTTACCAAAAATGTTCTATTCGTATAACCTAAAAACTAAAAAATATGAAATATATATGAAAAATGTTTAGAATTAGCAAATTTAACACTTTAGTGACCAACGTAACAAAGCAAAATTTTTACAAAAATGTTACTCGTAGTGCGGCCTTGCCAGTTAACAGATCAATTCTAATTTCAAAATTTCTGTCGCTCAAAGTACCTTTTTCTCTAGCTTTGTTGTAAATAGTGTTATTAACGTTTATTTATTTGCAGAATGCACAAATCATAACCAGGGAGTATTCAGCAGTGTGTTGCCTGCTACGACGATCGGGGGTAAATGATTTATCTAAGTTTACGAAACAGGTTGCAGCTGCAAACTTATTTCATACCTCGCCAATAAACAGCCAGGACCCTTTTCGACCCGATCCGGATCGTAAGCCAGACAAAGATGACGACGATAAAGATAAAATTTCAGCATTGCTGGCCAAAGCATTTTTGTGGATGCTCACTGCTTATATGGTCATTGCTATTATTTCTTTAATGTTTCCCAGCAGCAACCAACCAGAAGTGATTCGATATGTCTCGTGGAATGAATTTTTGTACCATATGCTAGCAAAGGGCGAAGTGGAACAAATTATTGTTAGGCCAGATATTGAGATAGTTACTATTGTTCTTTATGATGGAGCAGTATTTAAAGGAAGACGAGTACTTGGTTAAATAATTTGTGACGTATTGTTGTAATATTTTGTAATTTGTAGATAGACAACCGAACATTTCATATGAATGTTGTTGATATAGAGAAATTTGAAGATAAATTAAGAGAAGCTGAGAGAAGACTGGGAATTAAAGAAGGTGTTCCAGTTATATATGAGAGAGGAACAGATTCGGCTGGGAAATTGTTGATCTCTTTGCTGGTGGTGGCCCTATTAATATCCCTTCTAACTCGAAGCAAAAGTATTCGCCCACCTTTGAGTATGGACACATTCGTGAGTTTAGCATGATTTGTGATCACTTACTTATAAGCAAATGATTCTCAAAGTTATTTGCAGAGTCAACTGGGCAAAGCCCAATTCACACTAGTCGACCCACTAATGGGGCAAGGTAAGGGAGTACATTTTAACGACGTAGCTGGCCTAAGAGAAGCAAAACAGGAAGTTAAAGAGTTTGTTGATTACCTAAAACGCCCGGAAAGGTACAAAAGTTTAGGGGCTAAAGTTCCCAAAGGTGCTTTACTGTTAGGCCCTCCTGGCTGTGGCAAGACACTTTTGGCCAAGGCAGTAGCTACAGAGGCCAATGTGCCATTTCTATCAATGAATGGCAGTGAGTTTATTGAGATGATTGGGGGGTTAGGTGCCGCCAGAGTAAGGTATTTTTCCAGTATTTATCATAATTATTTTGTTTAAACATATTAATTATTTGCGTATAAAAATTTCGTTGTAAAAAGACTTTATTTTTTGCATTGTTCAGTGAATTATATTCAAAGGAAACAGAACATGTTATTAATAAAAAAAGCTAAAGGAATAATAAAAATTTAATGTTATGAAATGTTAAAATTTCTAATAAATATTGTTATTTTTCGGATGTAACTATTTTTGTTGAATTTCTTCCTTGTTCAAATTGAGGTTACAATGATTGGAACAATTTAATGCAGGCACTAAACAGCAAAGAAAAAATGACTTAAGATTTTTTGCAAATTGAAGTTCTTTTTGTATTTTGTATTTTAAAAATCTCCAAGGTTAATCCCTGTGTAAAATTAAAGGAAATAATGGGTAAATGAAACAATTATAATAATTAGCAATAAAGTTCTTTAAAAGAGTTTTACCAACTCGCATAAAAGGTGATTAGAAATTTTGTAGATCTTTAGCAATTGCTAAAATAATATAGGAACAAATTATTAATACTTTATTTATTGCAGCTCTGAATATATATTTTTTAAAACCATTAATCGTATAAATATGGCAAAAAATTATTAATATGTTAAGTAATGCAATACAAATAAGTAAAGTGTACTTACGCCATTGAAATCTCTATTAGTGAAATTTATTTTCATATATTTTGTATCTGATTTAGCCTTTAGAATAAGTGAAACATTTTAAAATTTGTTTTTAAAATAATTCACTCACTTTTAATTAACTTTTCTATTAATAGTGTTTTCGCACCTGATTTATTAGCTTTTAACTTTTATGATATAACATTATAACACCTATGGATTTTTAACAGCAGGTAAAATTAATACCTAAATTAAATTTTTCTATATCCAGAACATTTGGTTAAAAAATAGAGCATTAGCAATATATGTAATAAGCAAATTTGCATTTAAATAAGTTTATAAAAGTTTTTTTTGCAATTTTCTAATCTAATCAAAATTCTAGATGTAGAAATTCACTTAAAATGCAATAAGGATAACTAAATTTCCAAGAAAATTCCTTTACCTACTCCCTTGGAATTCGTATTGATAAATGTTATAATAAGTAAGATTTTTAAACTTGTTTATAAAATAGTTGGTCCTCATTTTAAATTAACCATATTATATTTAACGAGTACCTGATCAAGGCAGTAAACACGCTTTCAGGGATCTTTTCAAAGAAGCAAGAAAACGTGCCCCCTGTATAATATACATCGACGAAATCGACGCCATTGGTCGAAAACGTAGCGGCACGGGGAGCATGGAAGGGGTCAGCGGGGAAGGCGAACAAACCTTGAATCAGCTTTTGGTGGAAATGGACGGAATGGCCACCAAGCAGGACGTTATAATGTTAGCTTCTACTAATAGGGCCGATATTTTAGACAAGGTTGAGTAATTACTTCAAGTCGTTGAATATTCAATCATCAATGTAACGTTGCAGGCTCTATTGAGGCCCGGGCGGTTCGATCGACATATCCTTATAGATTATCCGGACTTGGTGGAGAGGAAAGAAATATTCGAGCAACACTTGAAGGGCATCTCACTTGAACACAGCCCCGAGACTTACTCGAAGAGGTTGGCGTTTCTGACGCCAGGATTTAGTGGCGCTGACATCGCGAATGTTTGCAACGAGGCTGCCCTGCATGCGGCCCGTACGAAACAAAAGGTCGTCACGGGAGCTAATTTGGAATACGCCGTCGAGAGACTAGTGGGTGAGAGCGTACTTTTTTATTAAAAATATTTAATTCCGAAAATATTATGTTAATAATTATTTTATTGGAAGTAAATTAAAATCGGTTTTTTACAAGTGGTAATGTTAGCCACAGCTTACTGTACAATCAATTTCTCTCTTTATCTAACCTTTCTGTTTTCAGGGGAGTGATTTTGGTTTTTTGAATATTTTTTCAATTTTAAAAGACTCGTTTGCTATCTTTTGAATTGAGTTATTATTAGTGTGTATCTGACACTTTCCAAAATACTAGTATTTCAGAAAGCTTTCTATGTTTGAAGAGTCTGCTGCTAGACAACCATAATCTTTGCAAAAAAAAGTCACTAGAAAATGATAAAATAATAAGATTGTTCCTGCTTAAAAGTTTATGATGTCTTGATACTCAAGGTTGTTTTTTAAAAAATTTTATTTATAACTGACCTCAAAGCAGTAACAATATATTACTAAAAATACTGATTTAACAATGTTACTATTATGCAATATAGAATATTTCAAAAACTAAGTAATAATTATTATGAAGCTAATTTTTGTCTTTAGACAACATTTTAAGATTTTAACGGAATTTTGGTTAGTTTTCTCACTTACAGTCTTCGCCAATTCATTGTGGATTTGCATACTTGTGTACAGTTTTGGGAGTCTTGACGTATCTTTGTTGCATCGTCATCATCATCATCATCCGCCAACCTCTTGCATACACTGTTGAACGTAGGTCTCCTCCATCTCCTTTCACAGTATTCTGTTTTGTGCCTTCTGCTTCCAGTTTCTCGCCGTTTTTCTCAGATCGTCTTAACATCTTGTTGGGGGTCTACCTCGATTTGTCTTATTTTCTCTGGGTCTCCATTCTATCAACCTTTTGGTGCACCTATTATCGCTTAAGCGCCCTATATGACCAGCCCATCTCCATTTTCCTTGAGTATTTTTTTGTATGACATCTGTTATTTTAGTTCTTTGTCTCACTAGAATGTTTGGTACCATGCCTCTTCTTATAATTCTCAGCATTACTTGCTCGTTCCATTTTTCTTTGAATTACGTAAGCGTTTCCGAGCCGCATTTGACAAGTTGTTGTATCGTACTTGTTTTTAAATGCCTCCATTCAGAATCATTTGCCTACAGGGTGAGAAAAAAAGCAAATCATTTTGTTTGATTAAGTAGTTACTAACAAAACAGAAAAAAAGTATATGGTTTACTTCAATAACTTATGTAGCTATAAGAAAAAAAAATCTTGGTATTTATTACTAGTATCAATCTGTCTAAAGTACTTGACTGTGATGTGGAAATCCCTTTTAGCACAGAATTTTTTTTAGATTATTTTGAAATGTAGCAAGTTTAAATGGTTTAATCGTTGAAGTAAAGAAATAAAATATACGAATATTGAGTTAAAAATGCTTATTTATAACTGACCTCAAAACAGTAACAATATAGTACAGGCTGCGAGGTCTAACAAAAATGCTGATTTAACAATGTGTTTTTATAATTTGGTATTTTAGCCGTATACAATAAAGAATGTTCCAAGAACTAAGTAATAATTATTATGAAGTTATATTTTGATTTAAAAAACATTTTAAGATTATAGCGGAATTTTGGTTAGTTTTCTCACTTATAGTCTTCGCTAATTGATTGTCTTCGTATTTCTTCGTTGCATCATACTTATTTTAGATGCCTCTATTTTGACTCATTTAGCTACAGGGTGAAAACAAAACAAATCATTTTGTTTGTTAAGTAGTTACTAACCAAACAGAAAAAAAATAAATAATTCATTTCAATCACTTAAGGAGTTACGTAATAAACGAAAAGAAAAAATAATACGAGGTCAAAAAAACCAATGTCAATTGCTAAATGAAAGGGAGAATAAGGTAAGAAAGAGAAAAATCTTCTTTTGTGGTATTTATTGCTAATACCAATTTGTTTCCAGTACTTCAGGGTAATGTAGAAAGCCCTTTTAGCACAGACATTTCTCTAGATTATTTTAAAATGTACTGTAATAAGTTTAAATTTGGAATAAAACATACGAAAATTGCGTTTGGAGGCGGAACTGAAAAACGGTCCCACTCGATGTCGCCACAGGAGAGAAGAGTCGTCGCCTACCACGAGTCGGGTCACGCCCTAATAGGGTGGATGTTGGAACACACGGATGCTCTTCTAAAGGTCACGATCGTTCCCCGGACAAGTTTGGCTCTCGGCTTCGCCCAATACGTGCCGAAAGATCAAAAGTTGCACAGCAAAGAGGAGGTGAGCAGTTTGGTCTGTCAAAATCGCGCGAGCCTCTTACATTTTTCGACAGCTGCTCGACAGAATGTGCATGACGCTCGGCGGCAGGGTGGCCGAGTCTTTAACGTTTAACAAAATCACGACCGGGGCACAGAATGACCTTGAAAAAGTCACCAAGATGGCGTACGCGTGCGTCAAAGAGTACGGCATGAACACTAACGTGGGCTTGGTCAGTTTTCCGGAATCGGAAACCAAGGAGCTCGGACGTAGGCCCTACAGCAAAAAGTTCGCGAATTTGATCGACTTTGAGGTTAGGAGGTTGGTATCTCAGGCGTACCACAGGACCGAGGAAGTGCTGAAGACGCAAAAGGACAAGTTGGAACTAGTATGTCCGCCCTTTTTTTTAGCAAACTGGCGTTTCGCTGAGGGTTCGTTTTTATTCTAGCTGGCCGAAACTTTGCTGAAAAAGGAGACGTTAAATTACGACGACGTCGAGAAGTTGCTCGGACCGCCCCCGTTTGGTAAAAAGAATCTGATCGATCCCGCAGATTTCGAGGAATTGATTAAGAGGGGCGGAGACGATCGTTCGAGACCGTCGAAAGATACGGAGGGCAACAGTAACAGCAATAGTCGGACGCCAGCCACGGCGTAGAAGGACTTTTCTCCTGTAGATTTTATTAAAATTGATGATTTATTAAAACACTAATGTACTTTGGCGCCTTTTTTATTGGTATCATAAAATTAGCGAACCTTGTTTATTCCCTATGTTGGCAAAATGTTAAGTAATATTTTGCTGTAATTTTTGAACCTTTCTTTGGTGAAGGGTAATTCTAAATAAATACAAAATACTAGTGTATTTTGGCCCCTTTTTTTTGTTACTGAAAATTTGTGAACTTTGGTTATTACCTATTACCTATGTTGGCAAAATGTTAAGCAATATTTTTAGGTTAATCTAAATTAATACTATATAGTGTATTTTGGCTTTTTTTTGTTACAAAAAATTAGCTTTTACTCTGAATAAATGATAAAATACAATATAATAAAATAAAATACAATACAAGAGGTAAAGTCAAAAATTTTAAAATCACCTGCATGCAAAGAACTATTGCATATGGTCTTTGCAAATAACACCCAAAATTCCGATTTTCTATTAATTAGCATGACAAAAATTCAATGTTTTGGAACTATTTTGAACACAGGCCTATTGTAAATATCAAAGAAGCTACTACTTTATCGACAAAGCGGCAACGTCACAAGCACAGAGGTAAACAGAAACTATCCGACGCGATTCCTTATTGAAATCAAATATCGTGTGGCTTAAACTGCCATAGTAAGTATTAGGCAGGTATTAGGTATTTTTGATTCAAAACTTTTCGTGACTTCGACGGTGGATTTATTAGAAATGTTTCTGCTCCCATCTCATAGAGGAACGCTGCTATAATTTTAATGTTGTCACTAGTTACTTCTTTTTCACGATCTTCTTATCTGTAGCGAATAGATTAATTAATATAATAAATATAATTCATTCTAAAGTCTGATACAGCACATCAGACCATATCGGAGGTAGGTGCCAAGCTGTTTTTTTTTTAAATAAGAACATCCCGCATAATATGACCTTCTTTTCTGAACGTTCTAGACATATTTTATATAGTTTTATATCCCGTATAATTATATCGCTATTTAATTTTTTTTTATTTCAAATAAAGCTAATAACTTGTCACCATGAAGAGTTAGGAAAACAGTTCGTACATTATTTGAAAGATTCATGAGTTTTTTTAACCGGTGATGGTTATAGCTTTTGCGGATAAAGTATTATGAATAAATTTTATAGTAGATTATGCCACTTTAGTCCACAGTTTGATTTGGTACGAGTTGAGCGAGTGTTTTAATCATTGAGTGAATAATGAAGTTGAATAATAATATTATATATAATAATATATAAAGAGAAAATATTTAAATATTTCGAATTTCTAGATATAATAATAATAATATTTTCTAATGTCTAAGATATTTCTTGAATTATGTGGGTTTAATAACACACACTTAAGCGTTTTATTTTAAGAAGGATGTATTAAATATTGGAATTTATAAGAAAACTAACAAAATTCATTCTACACTTGGTCCGCCATTCCACCGCGTTCTTCTCTAGTCACGTAGGCCAAAAAGAAGGAAGTTATTTCAAAAACAATACATGTAATGCCATCTATGTGACAATAACTGCGTTCTGCACTAATACATTGAACAATATTCACGTCCATTTACAAGGGAATTTTATCCGAACATCTATAAACTATAACTGTTTAACTATATTCCCTTCAGCAAAATAATAGTAAAAGCATATAATACACTGTAACAAAAATGTATGTTTAATAAATGTGGGAAACTGTGAGTGACTAAGCCAGAAAAATTTGCTTTTCAAGTTAGTAGGTTACTAAGTTCTTTAAAGGTATATGAAAATTCATTTGGTTCTGCAACTCAGGACAATTTACTAATGAGCCACACAGTGGTGTTTTTAATTATAGTGATGCTGTGCTCGGTAAAAATATTGGTTGCTATCTTGTCGAACTATACTATCATTATAATATAATAATGTTTTGTCATACGTTACAAGTCTTTAAACACGTCACATCCTCTTAATTATCATCTTAGTCAGGTGATAATTAAAAGTTATAATACAGTAATTGTTATATTTGAAAATGCGAAGTATTTAATGATATTAATACATAAAAAAAGTGTAATTGTAACAGAGCTATAGCTTGCAACTACTCATATTAGTACGCAGTACCTAAAGTTACTAACAAGATAGTATGACAAAAAACAAGATACCATTAGCAAATTACCAAAAAAGAAAAACATAAATTAGAGCAAGAGAAAATAAGCAGTGAGGGACAAAGATAAGGAATGTTGGAAGAAAGATGTAAAAAGTAAAATAAGTACGTCATGTACATTAATAGCGAAATTAAACGGAAACTGTGTCCAAAATCATTCAAAGATATGCAGAAAAGGATTCGGGTATAACAGTTATACAAAGCAGATCTAAAGCGATCTTTAACTTTTGCTTGAATGTACGGACGGTCGAGCATTGTAACTGAACGATCTCTGAAACATCAGTCAGAGGACTAGTTTATCAAATAAATACGAGGACTGTGTGAACGGGTAATTTAAAGTAATATAGATGCAACTGAAATCAAGTTTTCAGTCTAAGCGGATTAAAATTTCAATATGAAAGAGATACATGATTGAACTGTCTCAATCCACAACATCTACAATGTAGATAAAATAATGGTGTCACATAGGTGCAATTTCATTGCAAAGGCAAGAAAATTTTTAAACAGGTATAAGGTCTTTTTTAATTTTGTTGGACTAGATAGGACACGTGAGGTCTAAATCCCATTTTGTTATCAGATCATAGGCCCAAATTTTTGCATCGTGTATTGCCAAACAAAACGAGCTGAGATTTCGAGTAGTTAAGGAGAAGTTACAGTCTTTTAGGGGTAAGTTATTTGAAGTACACCACCACCAAGGGGAAAGTTTTCATTTTTTTGACACTTCCTAGTATACAATTCACAAAATGTTATTCGCCTTCATCGCCAGATTTGAGCGCTTGGCAAATTCTAAATTTAAACGGATGAAATTTTTGTTTTCTCAAAATAAAATGAGCATTACGTTCTATTTTCTCAACAGATATTTCCGGATTTTTAGTTACGGATACTGGTTTCAAAAACGCACCATTCGGTTTAAGATTTGCAGTTAATGTAGGTAGTACTATTGTACCATAGGTCAATAAAATGATTTTGACATTTTCTCAACGTCATCGTGTCAGCACCTACTACACCCAAACATTGAAAATTTATTAAAAACCTTTATTGAATCAATTTTTAAGTTAATAATTGAGGTTTTTTTATTTTTAATCCAAATTGGTATTACAATTTTATCCCACACTATCATTCCATTAAAACGTCATAATTATTACGTAAGCAAGGAACGAAAGTTGGCGGAAATTTTTACTAAATTCGTTCACGACTTCAACAACCAATTAGCAAGGCAATAAAAATTAGGTTATTCCAAACTTTGGGTGTGCGACCCTCCGTTGGTCTCTTCGACGGGACCAAAACGTTGCCTGTTCCGCCAGCCTTTACTCGTTCCCTACAACTTTCAATTCTTGTAGATGCCGTCGAGCGAGTCGCCGTAGAAAAACAACAGAACGGCGCGGACTTTCGACCGGTACGAATCGAAGTGGGTCGCGAGCACACAGTACGACCGAAATCGCGGAAGCCATGGAATAAGAATTTCGCGTCGGCCGGGTTGTGAACTAGACAGACGCTCGAACGACAGGTGGTTGCTTGAACCTTGCGGCACCCTTAAATGTGCGCGTTGAAGTTTCGCCACACGATATTATGATGCACTCGAAAATACGTTACGGCCCGGGCCGGGGGTTTTGGACTGTGATTTTGCTCGTGTCGTCGGTGGGTGTAATCCAAAGGATTAAATGCCAAGGTAAACAAAAGCTGAGAACGCCGCTCGCGATTTGGAGCGGTCGGGCAGTAGGCTGTGGCGGCTTTTAAGCTCTTTTTTTTAGGTAACCGAAGCGAATGTCGAATTTTCGGTACTTCTGTGCGGTATCTCCGTTATTTTCAAATGAACCAGTAAACTGTAAAAATACTATTAATAACAATATTTTGTACTCTGTTTTTGAATCTGATAATTCGTGGAATGTACCGAGTGATCATTTATAATGTCTACTCCCTCCCCCCGCCCCTTAACTTTTTTTATTTTACGTTTAGGACAAAAATGTCAAACCCAAAAGTTGTTCAAAAAATAGTAAGATATAAGTTATATATTTTTTAATAAAACACCCTATATAAAATACCCTAAAAATTCTACACATTTCTTGTATAATTTGTCCTATACCCAAATCAAATAAAATGCCTTATTCGCAAAGAGAAAACCAATGAATTTTAGAGACGTTTATTAAATCAAATTAGAGAGCTAAATTGACCCAAAGGGAACTAAGTGTAATTCATCCATGACTTCAGGTTTCTGATAAAAAACTTTCATCGAATTGATGAAAAACTTCAACAAATATGCAGCTTAGCCAGAAAGAAGAAAATATTTCGTATGATTTTATATCCTAATACCCCCATACTTAAATTCAATAGTTTTCAAAATATTTGTTAACTTAAACGCAACATTAAAAAAGATTCTAGAACTTATTACTTAAGTAGGTATAATATAATATGTGGGTAATTAGTTTTACAAATGGAATTGTTCAACTGGTACCCATTTTTCATTTGGAATTTGGACTTCTGTTCTTATCAGGTTTTTTTAGCTGCTCTCTTTTAGAAAATTTGCTGTAACAAACTTTTCCAAAATTAGTTTTTTTTTCTTTCAGAATAAGGCAATTTATAATTAAAGGAAACTAAGTTTTACCAAATCTGTAACTGTCAACTGTCACTCTCAGTTATAAACAAACATTTTGTTTCTTGGTAACAACCTACTTCACAGCCACCTAAGATATAAATTCTAAATTCTAGAATATTATTTCATTTTTGAATGTTGCTTTTGTGTACAGAAAAAAATATATCTTGTAAATAAGTTACTATGTTTTGTTTTTGACGTTTTTTTCTCCCCAAATAAAATACAAAAAAGTTAAAGTGTAGGACATTATAAATGATCACCCGGTACAGTGTGTTCCCACTAATTATAAAACTTATTAATAAAAGCAGTGTATTGTCCTAACTATGGTGGATACATGGTGATTTTGAAAATGTTTTTCGACATTCCTTATAGTTCGGTTATGCGTTCACTTATCGAAAAGGTAAGGTAAGGCTTTTTACGCAAGATCCAGTTAGTGATTATCGGAAACTTATAAATCTTGTTCCAAAACCGAAACTTCTAGTTCAGCTTTCCACAACACATAGAGGTATCTTAAATACAAAGCAAAAATTTAGAATTCTGACAACTTTTCCTTCACCATTGCTCATATTATTCCAAAATATGAAAAATTCGATATATTAGAGGTGTATTGTCAATGCGGATTTAATATTGCATAGCTACAAGTTTATTTGGCAGGCATAATAAATTATGTAATTTATGTAAAAAAAAATCTGTATGTTCCTTGACTTACTCATTAAAAAAGATAAAATTAAAGATATATGCCTATATAAGCTAGTAAAAGTCTAATAAAATCTATAGAAGTTTGCGAGTTTCAGAAGAAAACTGACAACGCTACTGGATTCTACTTAAAAAAACATTTTTTCGGTAAGTTACCTCATAATTATCTAAAAGTCAATGTTAGCTATGATAGTTCTGTTTTGCGTCGTCATTAAATAAAAAAAATAGCCTTGAAAGCCATGAAAACTGCCACAACGCTAGCTTTATTAATAAAGAAGATGCCCCGTAAAACCATAAAAATGGGACATACTGCACAAAGAGCCCAGCGTAATTTGGGTTATATGCTCAGAACATACAAGGGCTTTAAAAATCCAAAATTATATTATATTTTATTTAATAGCATTTTTTTCTAATTTTTATTATGAAAAATATATTATTCAAATTGAACAAAAAAAACAACAAAAATTAATTAACACAATTTTCGTTTAATAAACATAGACACTGTTTTAGCTATAACCAGAATCTGGCCTCTTTAGTGATTTAGTGATTTATTTTTTTCCGTATAATATAACTTTTTAGAAATTATTACCATTTTCAGTAATTTTTTTAAATGACAATAATTGAATATTCACTTAGCCAAATTGAACATAAAATTTCGCATTTTTGAAAATCAGATTTTCTAGATAATAAAAACAATAATAAGTAAAACAAATAGTTAGTTGTTGATTTTAGAACACTCACATCGGCATTTATTCATTTCTATTTCTTATAAAATAAATCAAATTGAAATCAAAGACACATGGCTTTATAGCAGATCTTCGAGTGCAATTTAGTTTTGCGAAATCTGCGAAGAAGGCCAATCGTTCTTCATAATACTATTTAAAGAATTCAAAAAATGTGCCAATTTTGCATTACAGCTTTTTTGATTTGCTTTATTTGTTTTATGGTATCACCTATTCGTGTATGGGGAATGGAACGCTCTGCATATTTTTGAAATTTTGAAATAAGGCGGCATCTTTGAATAGGAAAATAATTTGAAAAACGAGAGATACCATAAGTGACCCACAAAAAGTGGACGCCATGTAGACTAGGAAGAATTAGAACGTTCGGATTGTCGATAAAAAAATAAATGCTATTTGTCAATCCCGAGGAGTCGGGCGGCTACGGAATTTTTGAAACCAGTTGAAAATGCAACGGACCGTGTCTGCGCGATCGTTGAAGTCTCCGAAAAGTTGGAGCGCTAGACTTGCTTGGTTTCCTTATATGGCGTCAATCCGTTACGTTCTGGAAAATTCACTTAGGGAAGTTCTTAGATTTCATTAGCACAACATATTTTTTGAAAAACATAATGTTTTTAGCAAATGGCTTTATAGCGAGAATTTTGATATCTCAATTTACCACTGTCGTTACAATTTTTTGTTACAATCTGTATCACAAATTCCTAAGATATTATTTACATTTAGAAAAAAAAATTGGAAAGGCTTTTGATTTTAATTAAAAATCTGTCAAATTCTACACGAAAACTGTTAAAAGTTTCAAGGACAAACCGAAAACTTCAATCATGTGCTGGGTGTAGATTTTTGATTGGGGCTGGAGGGGGGTGGAGGGTAAGATGAGGTAAACGTCATTCGTCTTTTTTCATATGCCTGATAATTCTTCTTATTATTATTTTCTTATCTTCTTAATTTTTGACAATTTTTGAATAGTAAAAAGTAAATGTCTTTGATTGCCATTTTTGATAAAATAATTCCAGTAAAGACCGCACTGAGATATTTTTCGATAAGAATTATGAAATCAGAGACACACCATGTTATCAAAATTTTTTTTTGTATAAATGAAATAATGATTCAAAGAAAGGGCGAGAAAGCAAAAATTATGAAGGGAGCGGAAGGAATGATGAGCGATAGCGGCCATAGACGAACAAAAAGGGGGGAGAGAAGTGGGATGGATGAATGAAGAGTGTAAGAGTAGAGAAAGACATCTCAAGTGAGAACTTAGTTCATGGAAATAGTTTGTTTATACATATATGTCCGTAGGTCAAAAAGAATCAAAGAAACTATTTAGCAATTATGGCAGATCAAAAATAAATTGATAGAGGTGGTTTGGGATAACATTGTTTTATAATATTGAAATTAAATTTTTAGACGGAACCTACATTTTTCTATAATTTGTTTCTTATAATTAAGCTGTTTATGATCAACCAACCAGTTAGAAACCAACAACGCTTTATTTTTGATGTCAAAGTATGTTTAAATTTTTATTTTTTAAATGTTTGACGAAAAATAAAAGAAATAATACTATACAGACAAAATATACTTAGCAATCTCTTTTGGTATTTCCGTGAATCGTTCTTAGATTTAAAGAAATTAAATAATAGCAGCCGCGCTTACGGAAGCAAGACGACAAAACGATCTCATTGCGAGCTTTACATTGCTGTCGTTTCGCACAGTGCGTCCCGCTCGTCTATTGTCCCGTTATTTCTAGTGTTAAAAATGACCTCATGGTCGTCTTGACCTTATATACGAATGCCCAGTAGCCGATGGACTAGAAACGAGCCTCACTGTGTCATAGACTGACTCGCAGCCGATGCTCGTGTGTGGTGTGCCAAATACGCGTAGATTCAAGGTCAATGGCGAATCGATTTGCCGATCACCGTCGCTGATTTTAATTATGTTCTTTAAGTAATTTTTGAGTATCGAACTGTCGTGACGGTGTCAGCTCCTAGAGACATAGAGATATGAAACATTTTTTGACCAGGTCCTATCAACATCTCGTTTTAAATCAATAACCTCTACGAAAATATCAATATTATCTAATAATTATATGATTTAAGTAATGGTATATTATGCGACAAGTGTAATAAAGGGCATTTGATTCACGAGTTTATTTGGCACGAGAGGAGCGCAGCGATTTAAAAACTGTACCGAACGTGTTGCATACTATACTTTTTCTACGACCTTCACGAAAAAATCACAATTTAACAAATTAAAAATAATACCAGATTATCGGACTACTAAATTTCGTACCATTCAAACAAAATATTGTTTAGTTGCCATTAAACCTATTCGTTTATCGTTCCGATCGGTTCTGCTATTGTTGTCTCTTTTTAACTGTGTATTATTGGATATGTCATATAAACAACGGAATAAAAACAATTTTAAAATGTTATCTTGTTTATTTAACTTTTACAATTGATCGTTAAGTACTTTATTTAAAGAAAACGACCGTAATTGGAAGAATAATCATCCAAGGATAGAGTTTTTAAGAGGATTAAATTTAATGATAATAATAATCTTCAATTTTGTTTTGTTTGTGCTCATGAGACATGGATATTTGAAAATCGTACAATTGGTCTTGGCAAGATATTAATATAAAAACTGTAA